ACAGAGAGCAACTTGGCAGATTGCCCATCGCGATTTCGCGAGCTGCCGGCTCCAAAGTCACCCCAGGCCTGGATGGAGAGGTATGGTGTGTTGGAGCGGAAGCCGCTAATTGGGATCGAGGTGTTTGCGGGCAGCTGCAGAATCACGGCGGCGCACAGAGAGGCGGGCATCGAGATGCTTGACCCTGTGGACCTGAGTGAGAGCTCGCTTGTGTTGGAGGCCTGGCTGGAGCAACTGATCAGGGGTGGTGACCTCAACTTTATTTGGTTGGCCCCTCCACGTAGAAGCTTTTCCCGCTCGCGCACGGATGGCACAGGACACCTTCTTCGGCCTCCTGGAGATCCAGAAGGAGACGAGCGGGTGCCTGAGGTCCGGCGGGAGAACCGCCTGTGGGAGCTCGCTCTCTACTTGGCGAGCGCAATGTGTGAGGCCGGTGGCTTCTTTGTCATCGAGCATCCTCGTGGCAGCCGGGCCTGGGAACTCAGAGCGACTGAGGTTTTTGCTGGCAGAGGTGTGTCATGTAAACATAAAGTCGACTGGTGTGCATATTCCGATGTAGCCGATGCTGGGGTCTCTTTCAAACCCGCCACCCTATTCAGCAACTGCCCTTGGATGAGAGGTGCCGTTAAACGATGCGCGGGTGATCACAAACATGTGGCTCCAAAACGGGACCCCGGGACAGAGAGCACCGAGGGTTATCCGTGGGGCTTTTGCCGAGCCTTCGCTCATGCCGGGCGGGCGTGGGCGGCGGGCTCCACAGCTTAGCGAGGCCACTCTCACGCCCCAGTATCGGCGACACCTTCGTGAGGCGGGGGTGTGCATACTGGGGCTAGCGGCGGCCCTAGGCTGCCCGTTGACATCACGCACTCCTGCAAGACTGGTGGATAGACGTTTGGAAACAGTGGTGAACAATGCTTATCGGGACGGGGAGAAGCTCTACTGGATCACCCTGGGGGTTCTCAGTGTGCAGAGGGCCTTTAAGCTTTCGGGTGCCTACCTCAAGTCGACTTGGGCGGCGATTCGCGCATGGCGGCTCCTTCAGCCCATTCAGCCCCGCATCCCTATGACATGGTACGTGCTTCAGTGCTTGCTGGTTGTGTGCTTGGCTAGAGGTAACGCGCAACGAGGGCAAGTCAGGGAAGAGTGGTGGGGGGCAATGGTGGCTTTTTGGTTGGCTTTCATTGGCATGCTACGGCCGGGTGAAGTGGATCAGCTACGTGTCGGTGACTTTTGTTTTCCCGAGATGCCTGAGCTTGCCGAAGGGGTGGGTTTGGTGATTTCCATTCGTCAGGCGAAAACTAGAAGAGTGTGGGCGAAACAGTTCGTGATCGTGGATTCGCGTGAGCTCGTGGAGTGGTGCCGTTGGTGGACACAGGGCAAGAAGCCAAAGGATCGTTTCTTATCCTTGAGTCGTCGCAGATGGTCACAGCTTCTGGTGGAGGGCCTTGAAATCCTGGATCTCAGTGGCTGTGGGTTCACCCTCGGGTCTCTCAGAGGCGGCGGTGCTTGCCACCACTTTAAGACCCGGAAAAACCTGGGTCTTTTACAGTTTGCTGGCCGCTGGCGGCGGCCAGAAACACTGAGGCATTATCTGCAAGATGCTTTGGGCATCCACGCTCTGTCCCAAGCTCCGGCGAGTGCTAGGGCTAAGCTTTTGCAGGTGTATGAGCAAGTGCCTTTGCTGACGACTCCGCCTCCCTCGGCTCGTGCAAGTCTTTTGTAGTGGGCGATGTCGCGCAGGCTCCAGGACGCGCTCAGGGAGTTGGCCGCTGCGCTTGAGGAAGTGGAAGAGGAAGAACGTCGTGGAGTGGTTTCTGCTGCGGGTCGGGCGGCCGCCGGTGTGCGGACCCAGCCTGTAGTGGGGGCCGCGGCTGCAGAGAAGGAGTTTGAGCCGGTGCCAAAGGCCAAGGCATCGACAGCTTCGCTTCCAGAGGGCTCCGTGGTAAACAGCCGAGCGACTGGCTCACACGT